AAGTTTATGTGGAGTGAATATAGACTTGAAATAGTAAAAATCAGAATTATGAAGATGAAGGAAAGGCTCTTAACTCAAAGAACTTTAGAAAAAAAGATTATTTCTATTTAAAATATTAGTCAATTATTATGAATTATATTTAGCACTTTAATGTTCAATACAAAAATAGTAGATAAAAAGCAAAGAAGAATAGCTTACAACAAATATGAACAGCTCTAAATACTGCAGCTATTTCACAGGAAACATTTTTTCCCCACTTTGTACTGAAGTGGTAGTTAATCACAACCTTTTTTCCTAACTTGTAACCTTTTTCTGTTGCTTTCTTCTCTCCACTGACTCAATCTCCATTAAAACAGTCTGCTCAAAAGGCAAAGCTTGCTAAAAGCACTCATGGGAGGGCCAGCATGTAAAATCCATGTAACAGTTCATTATTTTCAGGAGTAAGTACAAGCAGCATTGTGAGAATATTTTAAATAAGGAGTGAATAAATAATACAAACCAATACACACTGGTCCTAATGTGTCTGAAGGATTTTTATTTGTCATTGCTATTTTAGTATTTTGGCTGACTTGATTGAAAACTTTTTTTTTTTTTTTATGTGAGCCTTTATAATCTGATTTCTAATGGAAAGCAACAGGGAAAATGATAGAAAAACAAATCAAGAAGTAAGTATCTGGAATCATACTGTGCACACAGAACTGTGCACCATTCCTCTCAAAGTGAATAAATCAAACCAGTTAATGGACTTGAGTTACTGTGCATCATGCTTTTGACTGTTTTAGATTTTTTTTTTTTTTGTGTTTTGGAGGTGGGTTTTCAAGAAGTTTTGGGAGGATTAGTTTTGTTTTGTTTTTCTTAAAAAGGTCACTTGCCCATTTAATAGTTTCTACTGATGAGAATTATCATATGGATTCAAAACCTCCTTTTGACAAAGGAACTGTACCTGGTACATGGTTTAGACCTGTCTTTTCACACTTAGACCTAGGTATTTTCTGTGTCAAAATTCTGGGACTAAATAAATAAATAAAATTCCTATCAAAGATCTACCCAGACATTTTAACTTCTAGTTTAATTAAGGTTATGTAACATGATATTAAGAAATAAAGGGAGATATAATCCCAAGCAGCAATAGAATTTTACAATTTTCTAGTCTGAAAGGTAGGTGTAGACATTGCCAGATTTATATCAAAAAAGGGTTCCTATTTCATTTGTGCATACTGAGAAAGAAAATCCATGGCTCTGACAGTAAAGATACATGTTAGCAAGATAACCCGAATTAATGAGGAATAAAACACATAGATAACATAAGAGTAAAAATTAAGAAGTGAAACTTAGATAGATAAGGGTTGGGGAAAAAAGTGAAAAACAAGTCTGAGTTTGCTTATATCTAAAAAAAACTGTATTCATTTTTGTCCACAGTTAGAATTGTCCTACCATTTTAGATGGTAAGTTTCAATCAGCCTCCCATCAAAGTGTCCTTCAGTGACCATGTTATGGCACAGCCATTCCAAATCATCAATGCAAAAAGCAAGCACAGAAGTTTCTATATGATGCTGCATATTTCAGGGTCTGAATTGGTGTATGAGAAAAGGTAAGCTACTTCCCAGCTTGGGATGGGAAGCAGGGAATTAATAAAATGTTCCTGATAGTGAACATGACAGAGAACAAAAATTTCAAAGTCAGTGCTGAACTGCTGAACTGAGTTTGTGAAGTTGAGTTATTGTTCATGTTTTCAAATTTACCTTAGTTGTCCCAGAACTCTGTTGTCACAAATGGTTGAAGATGATTATATGTTTTACTTAGCACAGGCATTTTGGGAGATTTTTCCCTTGGTCTGTCCACACTTCTAGGCAGTTTCCTTTCCTACTTTGAAAAAGACATTTGTCCTTTTCTTATTCTACTGAAATATTTTTACATGATTACTCTAAAATTGTGATGAACAACAAATTTAATGATAAAGAACCTATTAGGCTCAGCATAAGAGCAAGGACAATAATGTAAGCATCATCTTTGACTCAGTCTGTTCTCCAGAGCCTCATAGCCCAGCTACATCTAATTTTTGTTGATTCATTCTGCATAATGGCTATAAGATACCATAATCCTCTCTGTCTGTGCAGTTAAATCTCTCCCAAGATCCTCATAATCTCATATCTTGCTTATTGGAAAGTCTTTTCAGCTTTGAGAGATGATCTTGCCTCAGTCAAATCTATTCAGAATGCTACCATAAGGAATTTTCCTAGCTCACTTCTCTTCCCTTTATGCCCTTTCACTGGTTTTTCTATCTCATCAAATATACACTATTTTTCTTTATTAACAGGGACCCTAATGGCCAATCCTCACACTACACACCTAGTTTCTGTTTTCTATGAGCCCAAGCCTGCATACCTTCATCACTCTTGCTACATTTTGCAGCATGTAATTTCAGGCTTACTTTCATACTTCCTTTCATGCCTGGGAAGATCTCCTTTAAAAAACCCCTAGAGCTATCTTGTAATCCACCATCAATTCTCTTCCTAAAGCTGTTATTGGCTATGATGCATAAAAGAAACCAAAGCCCCTAAGCAATTGGTGCAGTAAAACATAGTCTATATTGCTAAGCAGTGTTTGTCTCATGGTCTTTTTGCAGTGCTCTCTTTTCATCTGCATTCAGTACAAAGACTGTCGCCTCAACCAGAGCAAGAAAATACTTTAGTTCTACCTCACACCACATGGTTGAGAAGGATCATAACTCATTATTATTTGGATTCTCAAGCATTGCCTAAATACAGCAGATGATGTAGACATCAGCAGATGATGATATTCTAGGATTTTTAGTGCTCTAGCATTCTCTATGAGTACGTGTTCATTTCCTACAAGAATTTTACTTTTTTTTATTTCAATGTATATTGAAAAGAAAAACCCGACCAAATAAAACACATAAAATTATATATTCAAATAACTAACTAAATGTGAATAGACCAATCTGCAAAAAATCCTACATTTTATAATGCAAAATAATTATTGCATAATAATTGGACAATAATTAGACAATATTTTTTTGATAAATAGGACTCCTTTGGTTATATTATAAAAATTACTATATAACCCGTCCTCTATATGCAGACAAGAAAAGGAAAAATTCATGGGGTTATATGCCCGTTGGTATCTCCTGCTAGTGAAAGAGTCCCTGTGTGACAGGCCTTAATGTCAACAGGCATTTAAACTAAAGTTAAATTAATTTCTAGCTATCTTCTTCTGTCCTTAAACTTTGTACCAATTACAGTAAATAATGTTGCTGGCAGATAAACATCAATTTAAAAGTAAATATTCGAATGTATCTATGTCAAACCTACCAGCACGGATTAAGACCATTAAATAAGGATGCCGTAGGACTCAAGACTTTGTATAAATCTGTCCAAATCCCTTTCCTGGATTTCCATAGGTATGGGGAAGAGGAGGTTCTACATCAAGACCTTGCCCCCTTGTGGAGGCAGGGCAGAAGCAGGCATGAATTTATGCCTGTAACTGGAAAGACCTTCTAGGTTGTCTAAAGGAATGAAATCTCTTCAACCTATAAAACGCTTTCAATTAAATGTCAAAAAAAACCCCACCAAAAACAAAACTAAAAAACTTCAAGAGAAATACTATATGAAAACAAGTAAATCAAAGTAAATAAATAGTGAAAACTGAATACTCTGCTTGAGTCCTAGTTTCAAACTTGGCAATACAACTAGCACTGTTCACAGTAGGAGATATTTCAGTCATAGATAAAAGGCTTTATATGTCTGTCATATAAATTAAGTGTGAAAACATAAAAATACTCAAAGCATTGTTAGTATAGCAAACATTTTAAAATTTGAAAAAGAGATTCTTCTAAAATATGTCTAAATGAATTTTTGTCACGGGGTATTATATAATTAATATGTATAACATGCTAAAAAAACCTGAAAATAAGAATGATCTTAATATTACCATAAGGCTAAACGAGGTTTTATACTTTTTGAAATGGCCATTGTAGATATATTCTTAAGGGCTTCTAAAAGCAGAGAGTACAAGCTACTTCTAGCACAAAAGTCCAAAAAGTAAGACTTCTGGGTTAGAAGAATGGAAAAAGTTTTCACTCATATTACCTGAAACATGTGCTCAGGCCATTCTTGCATCTGTCATAGATGAAGAAACTACTGTTATGCATCATTTATCCATTCAGTGGTTTACAGCTCCAACTGTTCCAGGGAAGTCACAAATTCACCAGCTATCAGAGAGAACTAGATTCCGCTTGGAACTATGATTTAGTGTGGAAGAATTCATAATGTCTGTGTAGCCAGGCAGCTGGTTAGACATCTGAGGTAGCTCAAATGTGTAGAAAATGTTGCTTTAGTTCATTTGAAACTTATGTTCCATAAAATAATTAAAGATTGGTCTTTTCCATGTGAAAGTGTAGATATTCCACAAGTCTAAGAAGCAAGCTTGCCTATGCTAGTAAGATTTAAAGGATGTGATGTTTTTGACTGGTATCAATCCACTGCAGAAAGAATTAAGGAGATCACTGCAATTCCTTCTCTACCGCTATGCTAGACAGGCAGATTACAAGAAAATGGCAATTACAAATTTGGTTTTGAAAAGGACTCTAAATAGTTTGGTATATCAGACATGAATAAAGTTTAGTGCTATTAAGGCAAGCTATGTAATTCTAGCCTTACTAACTTACTAGAATCTGAGGGAGGATTTTCCTTCTACCCCCAATATATTATTTGTGGAAACCAACTTCCTAGAGGGTCTATAGATGAAATTTTCCCAATGAGAAGGTCAGATTATTAAAGTGTTGCTTGAAGGCTGCCTATTTTAAACTCACCTGAGACTACCCATCTGGTAACAATTACAATTAGACTCCTTGTCAAGAAATTATGAAAGAAAAACCATTTTCTATCCAACATAAAGAAACCCCTCCGCCTAAGTAGCAATACTTATGTGAATTAACAGACTCATATTTCCAACTGCAACACATTTCTTGTTTCCAGTACCTGATACATGATGCTCATTATTCTTTAAATCGAATAAATCTGCAGCCAGTTCTCACGTGTTTGTTCTCTGCAGAAAAAAAAAAAAAATATAAAAACCAACAGAAACTAAACTAAAAAAGCAACATAAAACTACTGCATTCATTTGCTTCTGATACTTCTTGTAAGGACCACATAATTACATTGCTGCTTAGTTAGTCAAAATTTCCAACAGCATTTTATTATCCAATGCAATTCTCACAAAAGCCTTCAATGCTTAACTTCCTTTTTTTTGCAAAATTGCAATTTTTACTGCTAGGATAGCATCCTCTAACTGACTTAGTGGCTGCACTGCTAATAATAAGTGGGGGAAATGGCAGAATGAACCAATTTTTATGCCCTACCAAGCAGAAAAGTTTGGTTTTGCCTTCTACATTAAATGATCAATAAAAATAAAAAATAACTCCTTGAAAAGTCTTAAAAAATACCTTAAATAATCACAACATAATTTTAACATCACAGCTCTTAATAAGAAGAACACTGAACTGAAACTAACAACACTAAATATGATGAGCTTGAAATTGTTTTGAACTGGTGAGTAAAGCAAATACAATTTATTTAAGGCCATATCCAAAAGAAGAATGAGACACCAGTTGCAGGTTGCCCTCATATTGTATATTTCCAGGTGCTTGAAATTTTTCTATGTGTCTGCATTTTCCTTGCTAAACTGTGTCGGGTATAGAAGATCCATTTTTGCTTCCTGTACAATGAATGAACACAGAGTAAGCACTTGAGGTAAAATAATTTGCAAAGGGTGCACAGCAAGCTCCAGGTGTTGGGATGTTCCAAAACTGCAGCTGGAACTGGTTTTATACTTTAAAAATGGACAAAAGAGTAGATAGATCAATCATAGTTTAGCTATGATATGGAGACTGAAAAATTAAAACAATCTATATTTTATTGAATCCTTAGTCAAAGGACATAATCACTGGACTTCAGACTATACAAAAGTAGGTATATTACTTACCTGAGATGGGGAAATTCCACAGAAATAAAATCAACATCTGTGAGTGCAAAGAACAACTATAAAAGAAGCACTACTCTGTATACAAGGGACATCTTCTAAGGCACATTTGTGAATTCAGCTAAGGATCATCTCTTTTCTTAAGCTTGTGTATATATAATGTAAAAATTATGAAGTTGGGGCAATATTTGACTAAATTTGTTGGTGGTTTGCACCATTTGAAGGACCTACCTCTGCCTTGTTCCTCTGACTCAAGGGTAGATTTGTCTGTCGATGAATGTGTAGGTATTATTTAAAACTCTATCATTTTCCCATATTAAGCAGATATTAAATACAGGCAAAGGGAACAGGAGGAAGACAATAATGTGGAAACTTAGAATATTTTCATTCAGATCTAAAAGCAAATTAAATTAAAAATAGGTGACCTTATTTAATTCTGCCGTATTTTCTATTAATAAGTTAGTATGGGTTAAAAAAAATACACTATGAATATACTGTATTAAAAGTGTATTATAATACACTCTATTATAATACACTCTATTATAATATACTTTGTGTATTATACACTTTCTGTATTAAAATCCAGAGAAGTGACACATTTACTATTCTACATAGACTACTGTCATTTTTTTTATCCCAGTCAGCAGCTGAGCCCCACAGAACTTCTCATTTACTCCCCACTGCTAGGATGGGAAAAGAATCAGAAGTGTACAAGTGAGAAAATTCATGGATCGAAATAGAGTTTAATAGGTAAAGCAAAAGATGCTTTTGCTGACAGCTACATGCAAAGCAAAAAAGGGAAATCCTTTGTCACTTCCTGTGGACATAAAGGTGTTCAGCCACCTCCAAGAAATCAGGTACCCACTACATGTAGTGGTGACTTGGGGAGACAAATATAATCTCTCCAAATGTCCCCCTTCTTTCCCCTGTATTACGTGCTGAGTGTGCCACCATATGGCATGGGATGAAGAACAACGTCCTTTGGCCATTTGGTGTTGGTTGTCTCAGCTGTGCCCTTCCCAACTTCTTGTGCACCCCCAGCCTGCTCACTGATGGGGTGGGGTGAGAGGCAGAAAAGTTCTTGAATCTGTGTTAGTGCCATTCAGCAACATCTAAAACATCCCTGTGTTATCAACGCTCTTTTCATCACAAATTCAAAGCATAAAGACATACAAGTTCCTAGCAAAAAAATAACTCTATCCCAGCCAAAATCAGTACAAGTGCATTAGATTATAAACACGTGTTGCAATCCTTATACTGTAAAACTGAAAAGTAAAATATCTGATTATTTCAGGGCAATCCAGATAGAAATATCCATGAATTCCAGACTATACTTCTGTCTTTGGTTTGGTTGCACATTGAACTGTGAGCAAATGTGTCCCATATGGATCATTGCCAAGTTTGCTGGATATTTTTTGAGTGAAAACTGACCTCAGAATTTAACAAAGTCAAATGGCCATCAATATATATATCCTTATATACAAACATCATTTTGCTCACTATAAAATGCTCCTTTCTATTTAGTGGCCAGATGTATTCTGTCACTTACATCCTCAGCATGAATTTAAAGTGTCTTTCTATTTTTGCTGTATTCCACCATTATCGTAATAAAATTTTAAGTCACCAGAGAAGGACTCTGCTCAGAGAGGAAATCACACAAGCTCTTAAACAGATGCAGGTGGAGCAAGAAGGCTTAGTACTATTGCACTGTTTGATCATCTAGAAGAAACTGCAAATCTAATCAGATCCCTATGTTGAGAACTTCATGAACAAAAACCAGGCACATACACTCAAAGCAGAGGAGATGATATAACCCCATCCAAAGCCTCCTGTTGCTTTCCACATCCCTCACTAATCATTTAAATCTGAATTGTACGAGACTTGGCCAGCTTGCTCTCATCTGTGCCTGAGACTTACCCAGACAAAGAAAAACACTTGACAGCTTTTTGTTTGGGGTGAGAGAGGTATAAAACTCCATGTCATGATCAAGCTGAAATGATCATATCTATATTTTCATTTTATTCAGTAGAGCAATAGGGGTTTTGTGTCAAATTTGATTAAATTTTACAGAATTTCTATAGCAGTTGTTACATATATTTTTAATTATCTTTATTATTAAAAGGAGAGAGGTTGCCAGTGCTATCCATATAAAACTACTGCAATACTTTCTCCAGTGAGGCACTTAAAGTATTAATTAATAGATTATATGCAAGATTAAAGAGTAAGCCTATTTTTATATTGAAAATGTTGCTAATGCCAGTTTTACTTCCATAAAACGGCAACTTTAACAGCAGCTTTGATATCATTGTTTTATGCACATGACAGTTTTGCAAAAGTTATGAGCCAGCAGTGTCCTGGCAGCCAGGAGAGCCAAGTGTGTCCTGGGTGCATCAGGCACAGCAACTCCATCTGGGCAAGGGAGGGGATTGTCCCCCTCTGCTCTGCACTACAATGGCTTCACCTTGAATACTGTGTGCAGTTTTGGGTGCCACAATGGAAGAAAGACATTAAACTATTAGAGAGTGCCCAGAGGAGGGCAACAAAGATGGCAAAGGACCTTGAGGGGAAGCTTATGAGGAGCAGCTGAGGTCACTTGGTTGGTTCAGCCTGGAGGAGACTGAGGGGAGACCTCATTGCAGTCTGCAACTTTCTTGAAAGGGTCACAGGAGGGGCAGGCACTGATGCCTTCTCTATGGTGACCAGTGACAGGATCAGTGAGGGAAGGTCCTGAAGTTGTGTCAGGTGGGGGTGAGCTTAGTTTAGATATTAGGAAAAGGCTCTTCATCCAGCAGGTGGCTGTGCACTGGAGGAGGCTTCCCAGAAAAGTGATCACATCACCAGCCTGACAGAGCTCAAGAAACATTTGGACAATGTTCTTGCAGCAGTCCTGAGCTGGGCCAGGGGTTGGACTCGATGATCATTGTGGGTTCCTTCCAACTCACCTTATTCTGTGATTCTGTGACAATTCTTCTAGGAGGTATGCCTAAGGAAAGATAATGGGACAAATGAAATTAAATTTAGGGACATGGTTCAGTGCTGAATTTGGCAATGTAATGTTTACACTTGGACTTGATGATCTTAAGGACCTTTTCCAATTTGTGGTTGTATGATTCTATGAAAACGCCCATGCATTGCTGAAATCAATGTCACAATATTAGAGGCAACAACATAACAAAGAGAGGGAAAGACTGTTGGTATGCAGTGCAGAATTTTTTAATATAGCTTTGTCTCTCATTGACCAGATCTGAGAGGGATCAATTATTTCCAGCACTACAGTAGAAATATAATCCTGAAATACAGTACCTATTTGCATTTCCACCCACTACTAGATAACTGAAAAACTATTAGAAAAATTATTAAATTGTCAAAATAACTACAAAAATGTACAGAAGAAAAGATAGATAAAAGATAACAGGTGTTTACCAAAGATCACACTTTTTTTTGAACAGCAAACAAAATTTCTTAGAAAAAGTTAATGAACAATCTAAGTTTCTTATCTTAGAAGAAGAAGAAGGAGAGAAGGTACTTTTCTGAGAAAATATTTTTTGCCTCTCATTTCTTTTAAAGTGAATACAGGGATTTGTTGATCAAAACTATCTCAGCTACATAAGTCAAGAACTAGAATCTTAATTCCACCCATATTTTTATCCATCTTCCCCTTTTAGCCAAGACATAAATAACCAGAAAATATCTACTAATGGAGGTCTGAATTTCGGATAGTCAAGAGAAAGGTAAAAGGAAATATTGCTTCTTTCTTCTTAATCTGAACACGCAGTACAACTTTCTCTCCAAGGACATATACCATGTGCTTTGGAAGCAAATAATAGTAGCAATAACTATTATCATTTGTACAGAGTTTTACATTTACCAATCTCTATGAAGACAGTAATTACTTCACTGAAACAGAGGTTCTGTCATTTACATTTCTCCAGGACATACACACTGTTATATGTGAACAGACTGAGAACATATTGTAGGTATATATTCTATCATCAATTAAGATTCCTTTTTAAACAAAG